AATGTTTTGAAACCACTGGATACAAATAACACGTGTCATTTAAATAAATTATTAGAAAAGGATACAAGTATTAGCAACTGCTGCCTTTTGATGAGAAACAACCTTACGCCATAAAGATAATTTAGGATAATTCTTTAAACATGTACGCTGAAATACTTTTCCAAGTTCCATTTTCGAATGATATAACTTACAAGTTACAAATTCTAAATTTCAAGGTTTTTATTATGTCAAAATAAAAATCGTTCTTCCCCCTGGATTTAGTTCAGAACGTCTTGATTTACGGTGGGTTGAGGACTGGCTTGAGGAGAAGGAGGGACTTTTATCCCGGGGTTAAAGTGCCGTAGGTATACATTGTTCCCACATGTTGTTGTAGACGCGCGAAGAAAAACTGTTGACAAATGAAAAAATTTGATAGTAAAATCATCCTTAATAGTTGTAAATGATATGTAACATCAATGTATTCCTGGAAAATACCTGATTTTTATTCCTTGGACGTGTATTTTACTTTCACCTGAGTTTATTCCGCAGAAGACGTTTGAGGTGAATATTCCAAGATGGCGGTCGCTGGACAACAAGTTCCACCGTTTCCTGCTCCGCAAGGTAACTGATTGAATGGATATTTTTTAACGTAACTGCTTTAAAATAGATGCACTATAATGAATGAGGCTTTGATTGTATAGTCTACCTGAAAACCAAATGTATTTCCATTAAAACTGCTCTCTTGTACTAAAATAGACCGTAATAGCTAAATAGCTTGACAATAGCTGACTCTTGTTTGTAGTAAAAATATCAGTTTGCAGATCTTATTCAAAATAATTGAAGCATACTACTGTGATGTCCAGTATGATATATAAAAAGTTTGACATGAACACATCAATCAAATTGGTTTGATTCACACTGGAGAGTCAGTCGTCAGATTATTTGTCAAACACTAGACAGTACAAACACAAGACAACCTATCCAGGTGAACCAGTTGGAAAGTGTTCCCCATATTGACCATATACAAGCAATGGTCCTGAAATCAATCAGGACAAACTCTACATACAAGTCTCTCTGTACGGTCAAACTGTGCCATTCAGACAGTTTACCTTCATGGTACCTGTCAATTTTCTCCCCTAGCTTACACCTGTTAAATGAATTTATGCAATATAATTAATTAACATCAAGCATAAGTGTGTGAGGGATGATGATGATGATGTGTTTGAGATTATGCATTCATGCAAGTTTATCGTCCAATCAGCTCAAGGAGTCAAGGGCAGATTTTCATTTTTTTTAAAAGGAGGGGGTGGAAAAATTTCTAGTGGGGTGCAAGCGGCACCACTGAGGAGCTTCGGCAGGGGCTAGGTGTTAGGGTTAAAGACTTTCACAAAAAGTAGAAGGGGTGAAGTGAAATTTTGGTGGGGTTCAATACTTTATAAGAGTGGTTAATTCCCCTCCCCTAGTAAATCCACCCATGAATCAGCTGCCTCCCAGATAGGCAATTGACCATTGTGCTGCCTACCATATGGTACACAAGTTTTTAAAATTACGCCAAGTTTAAAAAAATAATAGTCTTGCAGGCTTTATATTAGCTAAGGATCATCCGACAACATGTCTGATGTGGAACCGAACCGAATTTTTCACTGGCCTTCATGCCACACCTATGTTGTTTGACTGTTAGCATCCTAAAACACTGTTTTGGGAAAACACCTGTGGTTATGCCAAATCCAACAGATAGCTATAACTTAGAATATTTCTTTGACCATGCTTCACAATATGCCATCTTGGTTTGTCAACCCAGTCCCGCATCCCACGCTAAATCCCATCGGCCTGTGGGTGTTGGTCAGGGTTTCATACCTTGGATGGCTTTACACCTGGCCAGCTTTACATCTGCACCCAATTACATCTGCACTAGAGGTGTGCATCAGATCGGATTGGACGTTTATAATCCGACAATTGCCTAATGTTTAAAATCCGATCCGAATTTGTCTAATTCGAATCCGCCCATAGTCCTTTTAATGTTCTATTTTTAAGTCATCAAGCTTAAAATAACTATAGAATTCAAGCAAGACGATTATATAAGCATCTAATTCTCCAATTTCAAAAATGTAATGTCCGCAACGTAATGTCCGCAACACATTATTCAAGACATGTTAATACTTTTTGTTGTCTTTTTTCAGTCTAAAATAATGTTAATACCATTTTAAAAAAGCAGAACAAATATAATGTCAAAAGAGCTAGACGTTTGGCTGAAAAATAAATTGAATTGTTTTTTTTGTTGCGGACATTACATTTCTCTTACCCAAACTCTGATGCAGCATAAATCACAGCAACACTGGATATTATCTGATCTAACATTGTCATCATGATATTTGAACCTTAGACTGTGTTTGTTAAGAAATATAACTTATTTCAAAGTTAAAGTGACTGAGATATAATTATTTTAAATGAACACACTTTATCCACAGAACAATAGCAACAAACAAGTGCAGGTTCAATGGCTTGCCGCAGAGTGGGCATGCGGCAAAATTCAAAAATCGTTTTGATTTATGATAATCCAATGTGTTAACTATGGAAACATGTGGTTAGCACCACATAATGTTGCATTTTGCAATTTTGCCATTTTCAATGTCTCATGTGAAATTGACCTTTTACATATTTTTGGTGAATTCACAATTTTGTCTCATCTCATTCGTTCGCATTACAATCTATAGTATTGTGATTTGCTTGGCGTCACTGCCTTCACTAAATTGTATAGAAATTGTGTAAATGTCATTGGATATCATAGGAATGCAAGGGTCAATTATGGCTCGCCTGGGTTTGCCCAAGGTTTTCTGGAACAAATGAATGAATGAAGTCAACTGTGATTTACTTTAATTTCACTAAGTATTCCCATTTTATGTCACATTTTATAAAATTAGAACAACGTTTGAACACATACAGTCCTCAAAATTAGCGACGGCAAATGGCAATTGCTGCCGAAAATGAAATTATCGATGGCAATTTTTTTTGCCATCTAAAATTTGTTTGGCATTACCTTCTTTATTATTAGCATGACAAAATTACTGAATGCTGATTGGTTGAGAGGAGTACAATTATTTCATTAATTGTACTGCAGTACAATTAATGATTTTCCCAAAACAAACAAAAATTGTGGAAAGGTATCATAAACACAAATGTGAAATGAAATTGCCCTAGAAGAACTAGATGAAAATACGAACAAAAGCACAAAATGTTGCTTTAAATTAACAAAAGAACTAAATGAAAATATGAAAAAAGCACCAAATTTTGGTTGAAAATCTGGCAGGATTGGGCTTTGGCGAGAGAATATGATGTTGACATTGAGAAGTATCCAATTTTGTCATGCTAATAATAAACAAGTAATCATGCGATGTTGCTTGTACAATTAATGATTAGTAGTACTCGTGATGTTTGGAAATTTGGCAAAATTTCCAAACATCACTCGTACTATTAATCCCTAATTGTACTCGCCATCGCATGATTACCTGTACTTATTCGATTGAATCTTCTAAAAGCTTTGCTGCTATATTTTATTAATATGAACAGATGATTATAATGATGGTTATCTTTAGTTTAGAATTCGGTACACTATGACTAAGTTGTTGTAACTTACCTTATTTATTTTATTCCTTATTGTTCTGCTTATTAGTCATGTTGTGTAGTTGCTTTATAACATTGTTACAAACAATTTTAGAATGATGTTGTGTAACAGAGTGAGCGCGCACAGGCGGTAAATACTGCATATCTTTTATTTTTTAAGTATTGAGAAACAAAAAAATGCCATTTGACTTTTTAATGACAAACAAATTGCCGCCGAACTCTAAAATTTCGAGGACTGCACATATTATTACTTCAATTTTCACTGGCTATTTTTTTGGGTGGGGCAATGTAATAAATTATGTTTATAATTAAATTTTGCCAAAATCATCGAACTGGACCTTCCAAATGTCTATAGCTAGCTATATAACAGGTAAATAAACAAAAAGAAACGGCAAAGAGAAAAATACAAATCTATTTGCACTCACTCTGAGATTCGAACTCACAATGTTCAACCTCAATACATAGTTAACTATGCTCAATCTAAGTGTTACAGTTATACCCGCTCACCAATTGTATATATACAGGTTAATCTTAGCAGACGTGATTTATGCGTAAATATGTACACTATTGTCAGTGTTATCTGCAGTATTAAAACTGTAATATTTACAGCAGTACTACAACTGGGCGACATGGCTGACTGGCGGAAAGTACAGTACCAGCCAAGCCTTATCTGCTCTTTAATACAGTTAGTAGTACAATGCAATACTGCTACCAGCTGAGCCTATATATATACTATAGTATACAACAATACAGCATGGCTAAATAAACCTCAGCTTGTAGCTGTGATGTATTGTAGTATACTATAGTATACTGAAACTAAAACTTATTATTTAATATTAAAAGAGAAAATCCTACTAAAAATAAAAAACCTGCTCAAAAAATCCTATCAATTTGAAATTATAACAAAGACGTTCGTCGTCAGTGTGGTTCGGACTGTTGAAGAGACGACAGCACTTCATGCAAATTTGTTTTATAGTAATTAAAATGAATTACTTTAGTCTTTAGAGCGAGTGTTTTTAAATGTGTTTTATATTACTTTTATTTGTCTTTTATCCCGTACTAGTAAGGATGCATGTCTTTCAGACAATGGTTGAATATATTTCTTGCAGATCAAGATGAACGGCAACGTTGCTTCTTCGCCGATCAAAAACAATTTCCTGCCGATCATTGATCGTTGATCGGCCGTTATTTCGAGCCCTGAATCCCAGAGTGAGCGCAAATAAATTTCAATTTTTCTCTTTGCCGTATTTGTTTTTCCTCTCGTTTATTTACCTGTTATACAGCTAGCTATAGACATTGGGAAGATGAATTTAGATGCAGTTTGATGATTTTGTCAAAATTTAATATAATTTTGTTGGTTTTCCGATTTAATATGATTAAAACATTCTAGAATCCGTCTCCGAAATGCGCGCATTTTTTGAATCGATAAATATCGAGGTTTTTTCAAAACCGGTTTTACAGTTATTGGAAAATCGAGAAAACCGAACAAAGAGTCGTATATTGTCAAAAACCTGTAAAATAGACCTTAGTATTATTTTTCGCAGTCTGTTTTTTGTGTCTTTTCGGGAAAATTCAATAATGGTAGTCAAAGGGGTTTGAAACGTCAAGATGGCGGACAAAAAACCCGGTTTTATTGGGGTTTTTTCGCGTCGGTTTTCGGTTTACCGCCCAGACCCACTACCTACCTGGCACAAACCGTTCGAGGTCTGCTGTTGTTGTTGTTTTTTAATTGTGATTTTTATATTTAGACCAAGAACTCAAAAATATCATTGATAAATTGGCCAATTTTGTTGCAAGGAATGGAACTAAATTTGAGGAAATGACGAAAACCAAACAGAAAGACAACCCAAAGTTTTCTTTTCTTTTTGGTGGTGATTATTTTAATTACTATAAATGGAGAGTATCTGTGGAAATTGGTAAGTTTTGAATGTTTTATTGTTGCTTACAGGCTGCCATCCTTTCTGTCTGATATGCTGCACTATCTTCTCATTAAGCTTTTACAAAGACATTAGTAAAGTTCCTATAAAGAGCAATAAAGTGACTTTCCCCCTGAAATTTCATTTACGCCTCTGTGGAGGAGAGATACAGTACATGCACTGTAATTCAGCACTCAAAGTAAGAAGAAGGGCTTATCTATCAACAATGCCCCCTTCCCTAATTTTCTGGCTAATTGCCTGTAGGTGATTGCACAAAATTGTTACAGCTAAGAAGTAATTATAGCAAAGATTTGGGTGTCACTCTTTTGCTCCCAATCATACTGTCTGCCACTGCTACAAGTACTGCAGTAGCTGAGTATAGTGCAAGTATGCAATGAATAGTGTAAGTAGTGAAGAAAAGATAAAAGATACAACGAACTATCATCAGTACTGACAGAATGAAAATGTATTGTACAGTTACGGTAACAATCAAGGTGCGATAATTCGCGTACTCACGTACCAGAGGTACGCCAATATTGGTGAGGTTAAGCCATAGAAATAATAGATATAGAATGCGTACTCCTATCTTTTCTCAGTGAAAAATTTGTCTCCACAAAATGGCGGATTTATAAGGGCATTTTGGTTGGTCCCAGACTCCTGAGGCGGGGAATTTCGCGCGGTTGCAGGGAGTACGAATTGTTTTTACAACTGCAAAGTTTGCAAAAAATTTTTATATCGAGACTTAAAATGGAAAAAAAGTTTTATGAAGTGAAAAAAATGTCTAAAAACCCATTCTAGTGGGCTTTTTTTACGAAAAGCAACAGTTCTGAACAGAATATATGCAGAAATCGTCGTTTAAAAATAAATTTTCAACGTTGTGCAAGCCAAAACAAAACCCCAACTATCAAGACAAACTTAAACTCAATAGGTATGTTCTACAAATATTTCAACTCTTTTATAAATTATAATATAAATGAAGTTCAATCTTTTTAAACTTACACAATTACTTTTCATATTTTTCTACGTTGCTTGAGCTTGAGGCAACGCTTTTGAAACCATAGTTTTCGACGATTATTTAGACAATTTTATACAGTTTATCGACAACTAAATATTTTTGTTTCAAGAACATGTGAAACACTTCGTTTACATTGAAGAAAAACGAAACCCGCCGACGAAGAAAGAACTATTATTTTGTAATCTTATAAAATATTAGCAAAGCAGTGAAGTAGTGACGTTCAGAGAATGCAAAAATGTTTTATGAGTAAATTATATTTACGCGAAACTACTTTGTTTTTACAAGGCTGCACTATTTTCACCTTTTTTGTAACTGCACAATTCCTTTGACAGTTTGTGCCTTCAAAGAACTCAAAATCTATCCCCAAACTACAAATTAGAGAACAAGACAAACGTTTTGACGATGAAAACGTAGTTTTAGCTTTGTTTATATTTTGTATTTGGCACTCCTAGACAAATTTAACATGGCGGATTTATAAGGGCACGCATGAGAAAAAGTGGAGACATGATTCGTGATCAAGTACGCATTCTATATCTATTATTTCTATGGGTTAAGCAAGCGATATTTTTGCCAACACGGACGTCATCGGAAAATTGGTATATCTAATTTTGGTGGCGTTTTGCATCATAGCGCTCCTGCAAGGAAGCAAAAAACTTTGAATATCTTGAATTTTGTCAGATGTGTTGAAGATTACCACAAACTGATTCAAACACAGTTTTTAATCCAGTTCTCCCTCGACAATCTGACGTCACGTCGCTTGCTTATGCTCGCTATTGTTTTCAGCGACATATCACGTAGTTACGCGGAACTGTTGTTATCTGCTACTTACTTCTTGCTTGGTACCACATGACATTTTCAGGCCCAATGTATTCAATATCGTAATTTAGTTGGTATATGTGTAAGTCTGACATGTCTTGATATGAAACAAGATTGGACTGATGGCACTAAGGAATGTTGGAGTCGTTTGTTTGTATATGCAATCGTGCTTCTTGTTTTGACTCGTAGTTTGAATATACTTTCAGGAACCTGTACTTTACTTTAAAGATTAGGTACACATTGATGATTTGTACAAGCACAAGTACGCAGCAATTATAATCATTGGCGTATATCAATAATTATCACACCCTGCAGTAAACAAATCGAGGAAGGTGGTCAGTGCTTAGGTTTGCTGCCTGGCACAATATTAATAGTCGCGCCTTCATTTTAGTTTTCCTGAAATCCTAATCAAAAAAGAACTTTCCTAGAGAAATGTCCCCTTAGAAAAGGAAATGGTATTATGTCTCTCAGCCAATGACATGCATGTACAGTATGTCATTTTCCTGTCTGAATAGACATTGTGGTTATATTGTATTCTTCACTGATAAGGACGAGTTGCTGGAGAGTTCAAGCTTGGAGTGTCTGTGGCTTTGGCTTCGTCCCAAACGCTTTACCCAGACCGCTTACGTGATAAATATCCAGATTGTGGCATTGCCATTTTTGGAGATTTTAACAACTTTGTTTTACACAACCTAACATTCAACGATAGCTTAAAGCAAGTTGTCCACCTACCTACCAGAAGATCGGCTTTCCTTGACCTTATTGTGACCAATTTTCATGGTTTATATGGGAAGCCGTATGTACTGGCCCCGCTTGGCACATCAAATCATACCATAGTTCATTGGGTACCTCTTACTAAGGATGCCACAAATACTTTAAGCTCAAAACCTAAGACCATAAAGCACTTAGTGAGACGTTACCCCCCGATCGGGAATTGAGGCTTTCGGACGGTGCAGGGCATGCTTGGTGACTATCCAACGACGGACGAATTGGTTACCTCTTTTCCTCACAAGTGACCAATACTCTTAATAACATCTTCCCACTAAAGACGGTGAAATTACATCACACCGACAAACCTTGGATTACCCCTTCAATCAAGCAACTTATTAAAGATCGTCAAAAAGCCTTTGATAGAGGTGATAAGCAACAGTGGCAACTATTGAAGTGCAAAGTGCAATCAGAAATAAAACAGTGGAAGGAAATGTTTTACAAGGATAAGATTCAGCATCTTCGTAAAGATAATTGTCGGAAGTGGTGGATGCTGTGAATAAAATGTCCGGAAGATGAAGTAAGAGCAAAAACTTCAGTCTTGAGCGTGATGGAAAAATTTTATCTGATTCTGAATTGGTAAACAGTCTTAACACGTAACAGTTCCTACGCGCCTGTTAATGCAGACATCCCCACTTGATTGCTCAATACTACCGGCATTCCTACCCGCTCCTGACACACCACCTATGATTGAACCTTACCAAGTTTATAAGAAACTTTGTGCTCGTCAAGCTTTCAAGACATGTGGCCTTGATAGTATTACACCGTGTGTATTAAAGGGATTCGCTCACGAGTTTGCGGAACACGTTGCAACCATTTTTAACACATCCCTAACCTCTGCAACATTTCCCGCCGTCATCTATCCCACCTTGACTCTCCCGATAAGCATATCCGCCTACTCTTTTTAGACTACACAAAGGCTTTCGATCGTATCGGACATAATGTGCTTATTAGTTAGCCTGCTCGCCGCCCGAAATTTCGTTCACATTTTCGTGTGAGGACTGCGAGCAGGCTATACTTATTAGCAAGCTTATTGATATCGGAGTAAGGCGCTCTTTAATTCCATAGATTATAAGTTTTCTGTCTAACCGTAGACAGTGTGTAAGACTTGGTAGCGCTAGCTCGGACTGGCTAGCGGTTACAGCTGGTATACTGGTACTTGGAAATTCATGGACGATGTCTCCATTTCCGAGTCCCTGTCAAGGAACGGTGAGTCCCATATGCAGAATCATCTTGATGACGTCAATACATGGGCTGACAACAACTTGATTTTGGAGGGACATTCCCTGGAAATTGTTTCCAGTCACAAGGTTCTTGGCTTGGTCATACAGAATAATCTTAAGTGGAATGGACATATTCATGTGACTGTAAAAAAGAGCGTTTTCATATCCTTAGAGTTCTTAAACGGGGCGGAACTCCACCTCACGAACTGATCCATATTTACTATGCTCTCATTCGCTCCGTTTTGAAGTATTGCTATATTGTATCTACCAGCTTATCTGGCCGACTCATTTGAAAGAGTCCAGAAAAGAGCACTGAATATAATCGTCCCTGGCAGGTCTTACCGAGAACCTTTGAGTCAGCTCCATTGTCCTCGTCTAGATGAGAGATGCGATGCTTTGTGCGAAAGAACGATTAAAAAGATAACTGGATGGTAACCGGCTGTATCATCTTTTACCTCAGACTAGAGAAAACGTGAACTATGATTTACGTAATTTTAACAACTGGTCGTCCTACAGTAATGTAGACTAACCGTTTTAAGAAAGGCTTTTTCCCAAGTATACAGGGTGTATCAAAATAAACGCAATTCATCTTTTTTGCTTAATAACTTTCGAAATACTATTTCTAGTTAAACGCTTTTAGGCTTACTTCAAAGCCTGTTCTTTTCTCTTTCAAACAAACTATTATCCTTGTCTCCAATGCTAGTAATAATTGCACAGGAAAAGATTTAGTAAAACCTATCATTTTTAGTTGCTGTTTAATTATGCAAGTTTACTATGTTATTGTTTAGTCGGTTTAAATGTTAGAATTTTCTTCTTTAAACTTTAATGTTGTCGTCACTACATCTGGAAAACCACGTAAGAACAAATTAAAAGTATTTTAAAAGAGACTAGGTTGTTTGAAAATCCTAAACGAACGCTAAAAATCGTCAAAACATTCTGGTGTCTGCATGCATGAGCCAGACTGTCATCGAATTGCGATGTAATGTAAACAGAAATTATAGCAAGTTGATGTCAGTCAGCTCAGATGGTCCAAGCCAAAATTATATCGCATTTGAAGTTTCAAACTGAGTTAAAAATAGTGGAAGAAAAGCCGTAATTATACTTATTGTTACAATCCATTTTATAAAATGCAACATTTTTTTGTTTTAATGAAAAAATCAGTTATTTTCATGAGAACGATTTGTTATTCCATCTCAATTTTTTTAATCTCCAATCGCAATAACGTAAAGTATTATTACCCGAGAACCAATGAGTCAAATTTAAGAAACAACCCACTGTTAGAAAGCTGAATGGCTACGCTTTAAAATGAATGTAAACTTTAACGTTTTCGTTTATTATTTGTTTAGCAATTTACATTTCAGTCGAGGATTGCGCTTTTTTTTATACACCCTGTATACCTTAATTTCTTACATCTAAATTTTAAATTGTAAATATAGCATTAGTTTTATTATAACATAACTTATCATGATGTTATTATTGTAAGCACATTGTAATTCAATTGTTTGTGATGATGTGCCATTAAAACGCATAATAATAATAATATTATTATTTATTAATATTTAATATTTTTCTTGTTTAGCTCAAGGTAAACTTATTCCCCAGCATTTACAATCTCAAGGTCAATCTTATCCAAATGCTCAAGCATCTCTAGTTCAGCAGGCCATTGTTCAACAGTCTATTCAGTCTGCACCATGGCAGCAAGCACAGCAGGTAAAACGATAAGCAGTAATTCCTGTAATATTTAAGTAGCATTAATTATGTTATTGGGCATAATATTCTCTTTAAAGAAATATTAGTTTTCCGACATATCTAAAATATACATGTCACATATTTGTAGTTTGTAGACAAAGCTACATTTTGTTTGCCAAAGTTGCTGACCCAAAACTTGTTGTTTACTGCCTATTGTCACATACGCCTGTATTCTGAAAGCTCACTCACACTCAAAGAGTGAAGGTTCAATCTGAGCTTCTCTTGAGTGTCAATACTGTTTTTGAATAGCTGGAGGGTGGGTAGTCACGTATAGTAAAGCACGACACTAACCCTCCAGCTATTCAAAAACAGCATTGACACTCAAGAGAAGCTCAGATTGAACCTCCACTCTTTTGAGTGTTAGCTTTTAGAATACAGGCGTTATTATATTGCGAGCATCTGCATTTACATTCCGGTGGTAGTGAACATGTTTCCAGTCGGTGATATTCTGGAATAAACATGCAACTTAATTCCAAATATAGACGTCAATAATTTTCCGAGACATATTTTTAACCTACTCAAAATGCACCACAAGCGAAATTGGAATCCCAGCGCAATGTGCAGCTTTCTGTAGGCCAGTTGCGACGACAGGATTTTTTTTTGGGGGGGAGGGACTTACTATTTTGTGAGTTTCAATTCTATGGATTTCTGGGGGCAATTACAATTTACAATTTTATTAAATTCGCACGACGTACACAAATATTTTACATAACATATATCAAAAATTAAATATTATAATAATTAAAGCTTTCAAAGTATTAATATAATAGCATAATCGTACGCAGTGCAGGTCAAAGTAGCTTTACGCTTTCGGGTCGACCACCGCCTACACAGTGAAAAAGGGAGGCCGAGGTAACCAATCAAATGGTCACCTCACCCTCCGCCTTTCACCGTGCATTTGATAGTTTATTTGAAATAATACATTAAATCATTACTGAGCAGATATATTGAATTGACAACAACAAATTTGTAAATCATTTACATGCATAAATTACGATTTTTGCGATAGCAATAGTGTTTGTTTATATTGTTTTGAAAATACATGGCATGAGGCATGAGCATGCTCCCCTGAATTGAATTTTGGTTCTTTGAAAATGTATACTTTGTAATAATCTTGAACGGTCAGTGCCAGTGTGTGTAGTGGCAATAATAAGAAAGATTCTGATTGATAGGGATACAACTATCTGAAAAATACAAGGAGAACTTCAACATTTCGAACGAAGGGCCTTCGTTGAGAAGTTAGTGACACTAAAGGCCATGTTACACGGTGCAATTTTTCTTGCAACTTGCAATGCAATTCTACTCTTGAGAGATGTTAATTAGTGAAATCAGTGAAGAATTTTCGATATGTTGAGAAAACATCAGCGGAGTGTAATGAAGACTCGTATTTGGCAATTTTACATCTCTCAAGAGTAGAATTGCATTGCAAGTTGCAAGAAAAATTGCACCGTGTAACATGGCCTTAACTTCCTGACGAAGGGCCTTTGCTCGAACATTGACGTTCTCCTTGTATTTTTCAGATAGTTGTATCCCTGACTGGAAAACATTTTGAAAATCCATAGAATGGAAATTGTATGGACCTTTATTGGAAATAGAATGGATTTTTGATTATCCATAATAATTGTATATTTCCATTCTATGGATTATTGTAATAAAGTATCGAAATAGTATGGATACACTATCGATTTAGTGTTGCAATTGCAAATCTCATTTGGATTTCACATTTTTTCCCAGTGCCTATCAATCTGAAACTTTCTTATATTTTGTTTATAGTTTTGATATGACTTGCTTCATTATACTTTTCACCATATCGTGTTATTTGTAGGTCCAACAGCCTCAGGTGACTGGTCAACATAATGCAAGCCAGCAACCTTATCAGACATCTACAGAAAGTGTAAATATTCCCGAATTCGAGGGTTTTTTGGTGAAGATCATGCAATCTTGTACCAAGGAAAATATTTCTGTATGTACGATAAGTGCTTATTTTTACTAACTAACCACTTCGCCCGTATCGTACCGTAACGTACCGGTGAGTATGCGCAGCTTGAAGCTGTGTTTTCAAATTTACGTACTTCCGGTTGATACGCGTATCAAAACTGATAAAAAGTTCGTCGCAAGTCAACTTTTTAGCGTACTACGGATGTATTAACCAGTCAACATTCACTAAATTTTGAAATTTAAAATTTGTTTTGATACGTGTCGGTACGTTACGCTTGAAGTGGAAAACGGCCTTAAAACCATACACCTGACCTTACCAAGTAAAATTTAATACAGAAGATTCGCTTAACTGTAAAGTTCTGCGTCATTTATTCTTTTTTCCACATAACACTGATAGAATGGCAAAAACTGGATATTCAAACATTGCAAAACAGAGGATCATTTCAAGCAGGTTGCTGACTATATGTTATTAAGGTAAACAAGATTACTGACCTCTAGGATTTTGTCCGCTAACTCGGCCAAGCTCTCGGTGTCCAGGTCTTCTTTTGTCGAGGCCAGGATGAGTTTGACGTTTGTTGGGAGGCGCTGAAGGAATAGTGGTTTCATAATTGAAGGCTCAAGTTGGCTTGCTTTTTCACAAGACTTTGCGAAAATGCCCAGAAGGCGAAAATATTGTACACTACAATGACGGGGTATGAGGGATAGGCGGGTGGGTAGTGTCTCTTATATCTACTCTCCGAGCGTTGGCATCGATGTTGTTATAAAATTAATTATAAATAGCCCAATAATGGATTTTTGTTTGGTGCAAGGCATGGATACCCCTTGAAAGTAATTACCCCCTGAAAAATACCATCATACTGAAGTCTTCGTGATTTAGGAAATTGTGTGCATAATTTATTGTGATGATAGGGGGGGGGGGGGGGATAAATGGATAGGAAACTAGCTGACGTGACCTAAAAACGGCATGTTTAGCAATAATACAGCTAAACATTTTAGTCAAAGAGCAAATGAATATAACTACGCCATTCTACGATGAAATCTCTAAGTATTCCCAGTCAATTTTAGCAAATATTTCAAGTACTAAACCATCCTCGTTCCAGGGCTTCTCGGCTTACTACGGCAACGCAGGCAGCCGAGAAGCCCTGGGAACGAGGATGGTACTAAACAGTGAAAACGGCATCCCAAATTTCGTTAAAATTGGGGACGCCAATTTCGTAGCCACAAATGTAAAAAAATACAAAACAAAGACGAAAAACATTTACCTTGAATACTTTGTCGTGGCTTAGGCATGTTTTTAAAACAGACCAGTATATGCTTCAATATTGCTCTTTTAAAACGGAAAGAATAGCGAAACAACAAAAATGCCGAGAACTTTGCAATACGCGTGACGTCACAGATTGCAACTAGGTTGTTTTTGCTTATGTCAGCTAGAGTCCTATCCATTTATTTTATTATCCATGTTGAAATCAATCGCTATTTACACCCAAGAAAAGGAAAGGGAAAGCATTAACGTGGTCTAAAGTTCATCGAGTCGACCTCACTGATATCAAAAGTATGGAGAATTTCAAGAGTGAAATGCGTCTGATTTGCGGAAAGGAAACCAAAGTACATTATTCAGAAATCCGAAAAATCGTTACAGAGACGAGTAGTTTTATTTGTTTTTCCTGCATATAACGAAAATCACGGACTGCAGAATATCTTAAAAAAGATGTTTTTATTATTTGGGATATTTAAAGGGTATGAGCAACAAAATATTTCATTGCTTCATCTGAAAGAGCATGAAAAAATAAGCCGGTTGGCCGTTTAATGCTCTATTCTATCTCATCTAGTTCCGAAGTTATACTCAAAAATGTGCAAAATATAAATTGCTGATTCAGCACGTGTGACGTCATTAGTTGGGTAAGTATGTTTATTGAATTGTAAACTAAAGCATAGCTAAGTTATTATTGGCTCAAATCAAATGAAATTTTGCATACAGATAGTACATGATGAGATGCATGGGAAAATATTTCTAATTTTGTTGTCAAGGCAACACAGTCGTTCCCAGGCACCTTACACTGATTTTGAATAACTAGTTGCATTTATCTGTGTGTATGTCATTTTCGAATTATTATCATGCAAGTAAACTTTTGGCATGCATAGGTATGGTACACATACTTCTGATATTATTTTTTTCTTATAAGTACCATGAATAAAGTTGTTTTATAAAATTGGCGCAAGGGGCCAGGGGACGACATTGTTACCTTGGCAACAAAATTAGAAGTGTTTTTCAATGCGTCTCATCATGTACAATCAGTATGCAAAATTTCATTTGATTTGGGCCCAAAATAACTGAGCTATGCTTCAGTTTAGTACCATTAAACATACTTACCCAACTAATGACGTCACACGTTGTGCTGAATCAGCAATTCATATTTTGCACATTTTTGCGTATAACTTCGGAACTAGATGAGATCCAGGTGATTTTGATACGCGGAAAAGTAAGTAAGAAGTAAGAAAGTTAAAACAACTGAATATCTCCTGTAATATACTTTATTTCGATTCCATATTTTTGTCAGAGCTATAGTTCTCATAACCAAACATAATTACAAAATTTCAACTAGTTTCATAAAGAATAATGAAAGATATAATTGACTGAATACATCAAAATGGATTTCTATTCGGACAACCCTTTCTGAGCGCTGATTGGCTAAAATACGAACACGAGATCACCTGGATAGAATAAAGCATTAAACGGCCAATCGGCTTATTTTTTGTGCTCTTTCAGATGAAGCAATAAAATTTTTTGTTTGCTCATACCCTTTAAAAATCTTATTTTCATCTGAGAATTGCATATTTGAAATCATTTTTATTTCAAACTCACAAAGTTTGTCGATAAAAGGTAGTTTAGTTTTATGAACATTTTAAAACGTTTTTCGAAGCGTTTGTGGTTGAATTTTACATTAAATTGAAGCTTATATAACGCATAATAACATACCTCACATGTATATTTGGGAAATTGATAATTTTGTAATTAGAAGTGATATTTTGGGGTGTTTTTGATTTCATTTTTAAAAATATAAAGAATAAAATGCTCGTGTAACCATGACAACCACTTCAAATACTTCATGTTTGGAAAATGGGTTTCTACCAGGTTTCTGCATGCATGTATTTCTAGTTTATGTGCTACCTCAGCTCAGTGTACCGAGAGGGTCATCTTTTATTGGGCCACTGTTACTACAGGTAGAAACTAGAGTACCGGGAGAATCGACAGTGTTTGGAACAGTCAACTGGAAACATTCTTCTTTCTTAAAATGTCAAATGATTTTATTTAGTCGCCAGATGTTGACTACAAGCCCTTGAATCCAGACGATGTAAAACTTCCTCCTCCCCAGCCTCCTAGTGAGAGATTAATTGCCGCGGTCGAAGCATTTTACAGTCCTCCAAGTCACGAAAGACCACGGAATAGGTGAGTGCCTCCTTGCCTTCGCCCTTTTCCGCCTGCGCTCCTTCGCCCAGCGGCTCCGCTCGTGTTCCAAGATCCGCCATGTAAAGTGTTGTGAAATGTATCTCAATACTAATCGTAATCATAGCCAACAGAAGCCTCAACCTCGTTCCAAGAGCAAAGAGCCTGGGAACGAGGTTGCAGAAGCCTCTGCGGAGGAGAGAGGGTGAGTGCAGTTACCATAAAACTCTGAGTGTAATAAGCTGCGATTATCTCAACTACTTCAATAGTTACAAAAACGTCGATGTGTCTAGCGTTTCGTCAGGAGAGAGTAGCCGTAATGTTGTAGGGTTTGATTGAATGCTGGGTTTGGTACATAATCCAAGTGAGCATATATTCTTTGCTTGTACATGACGTAACTACGTGTAATTAGGCGCCATCTTGGTTGATTTTAAACTTTTGTCCAGCCGTTTACATCGAAATAGTTGAGCTACTTTAATATTTTTGGTTTGTTTTGAAAACATCTTACTGTATTATGGATAGTTTACGATTTCTGGCACAATACGACAAAGAATGAAGAATATAGATTTTTAGTTGCCACGAAAATCAACCAAAATGGCGTCGATTGCAAACGAACAATACGGCTATTTCGATTAAGGTTTTTCCCGAAAGGCTTTCTGGGAATCCCTAAAAAATTCGCAACCTTTCCTGGTTAGGTCTTAAGACAGACCAAAACATTACCTGGGTTTGGTGGATAATCCAAGTGAGCATATATATATATATATATATATATATATATATATATATATATATATATATATATATATATATATTTAACAAATATAAAACATTTTCCGTGTTGATATACAGTTATATCAACACGAGTGGAAATTGGGAAAACGAGAAATTGTGTGGAAACACTACGCCCGAAGGACGGAGTGTTTTCACACAATTTCGAGTTTTCCCAACTTCCACGAGTGTTGATATAACTATATATCAATACGGAAAAAATGTTTTATATTTGTTTTATAATATAGCACTGTCAAAAGCCCGAAGAATAAGAAAAATTTCCGTGTTACAAGCGGCGGAAAATTTCCCGTGTTGACATGGAGTTATATCAACACGGCTCTTAGCCAATCAGTATATATATATATATATATATATATATATATATATATATATATATATATATATATATATATATATATATATATATATATATATATATATATATATATATATATATATATACAGCTAATTCAATAAAGGTTGTCCTTTGCAAACTTTAAACTCTAAAACCTTAAACCTTAAACTCTATAAACGCGCAAAGCATAATGGGAGCAATATTTAAGCAGTTTAGAAAGCATATATAGAGCCCATTTCTTAGAGACATGGTAAACCAGAGGTCGCCGGTTCGAATCCGACTCAGTCTCAGCTTTTCCTGTTCACTAAAAAATACTTACCTACGGTGATTATTAATCATCACGATATGGCATTTATAATTTTTATATATGTTAATCACCGTAGGTAAGTATTTTTTAGTGAACAGGAAGTGTTGAGACTGAGTCGGATTCGAACCGGCGACCTCTGGGTTACAAGCCCATTAGGGTTTTTCTAATGGGTTTTTCTATTATATATATATATATATATATATATATATATATATATATATATATATATATATATATATATATATATATATATATATATATATATATATATATATATATATATATATATATATATATATATATATATGCTCATTTGGATTATCCACCAAACCCATGAGGTAATGTTTTGGTCTTTCTTAGGTTCTATCAGTGACAAAAGTCAGGGCCTTTTTTAAGAATTCGTCCGTGGTGAGGGGGCATCTTCAAAAAGGGGGACCATACTATACTGAGTGTGGAGACATGACAGATGGTTTGCCCCCCCTCGCCCCCCCTCG